CCCCAAAACCCCAAAACCCCAAAACCCCAAAACCCCGAGAATTATTTTAGTTGTTGAAATAAACCTTTTCCCCTTCAATAAATTTTTATATCAACACTAAAGAGGAGGATTGACTGCTTAGCCTATCTTTACCTTCTTCTGTCCAGTGGAGTACATCTCCTTTAAGGCCCCATCTATCAACTTGCAAACATGTTTAATGAGTAGTTTCGCTATAGAGATTAAGATGAAAGTTACCTTCAGTGATTTCTATGAACTCTTGTTCATATTTATTACCCAGCCAGAGGTAGACCTCTAGCATGTTATGAATCTCTTCCAGCTGAAGGAGGTCTTCAACAGTGTAGTCTCCTTTGCTAAGTATAGAGTAATCGTTTAAGTTCTTCCCAGGAAGTCGTACTTGTTTAAAATAAGTCAACTCCATAAAGAATTGCTCTAAGATTTTCAACCTCTTTTGTCCATTCTTGTAGTCTAGCTTTATGGGGCACTGAGAGAAGTTGTAAATAGCCCGTCTGATTCCTTTATGACCTGCATAGGTGTCAAGCAAAAATTCAGTAGTGTTGTGAAGCCTCATTGCAGTTGAGTTATCATATTTATCCAACCTTCTACAGATCTCTTGAGGCACAGTCACATTTGTCATAAAGTAAAGATCATCTAGCTCTGAGTTGTTCAAGAATAAGTCGAGGATTCTTGAAAATGGGAGTGCTATTTTATAATCTTGTATAATTTTATAGGCAAATATTTCTAATTGTTCAAAACTAGGGAAAAATCCGGCAGCCTTTATCATAGACTGGTGTTTTGTAAAGTCATTATCTTCTATATAATCATCATCTTTGATTTGTTCAAACAGATACTCGCTTTCTTCCTTCTCATCTTCATTGGTATCAGTGATAGTGATGAAACCTTCATCATGTTCGTCTTCAGAGTCTTCATTTTGGTATTTATCTATGTTGATTTCAATCTTATTTTCCTTGCTGAGTTCCTTTTTAATATCTTCTGGTTTCTCACCAATAGATTTGGACAATTTCTGGTCCTCCTGAATCACATTTCTAATCTTGTTGAGCGTCTTGGTGGTAAATGCAGATACGTAGCCGTCTTTGTGGAATCGCCCTGCTCTTCCAGCAATCTGGAGAATCTCAGTCTTTTCTAAAGGGTTTATTTTACCAAAGATCCTTTTCTCTATTGATGTGAATATTATTCTGTTAATATTCAGATTGAGACCCATTCCTACAGCATTAGTTGCGACTAAAAAGTCAAGACCGCTATCACGTTCGTTGAAAGCCTTAGCTTGCAATTTTTTGGTCTCTGGTGGAAGAGTGCCATAAATCACAGCACATTTATTTTTAAGAGGGTTATCTTTTAAGTATTTTTCCTTGAGTTTATACATAATCTTTCGATGTCTTTTTGTGTTGTTCATGCCCTTTTTGATTTTCTTCATATTATTTATCGTAATCTGGGTCTAGTTTCTCGTTGATCGAAGATTTCATCTGAAACAATACCTTTTTGGAGAAACCTACAATGCAGTCGCCTGGCCTGAGATCATGGAAACTTCTGATAGGTTTCTGATCAGCTCTAAGAACACTCATTCTTTTGTACTCTCTTCTTTTGAGATTATCTCCAGTGACTTTTAAAAGGTCTGAGATTAGCTTAAGTGATCTTTGATCTCCGCAAAGATGGATCTCTTTAGCACGGAGTCCAAGCACAGCATTCGTCCATGCTGATCCTCTCTGATCATCAGCGATCATTTGGATTTCGTCTATGACAGCAACATCATATTCCTCTCGTGCATTTGCCATTTCAATGGTACATGCATTATGAGTATCAAATTCTGATATAGATTTTTCCTGACCAGTTCTTAAACTGCATCGGATGCCTTCGCTGTTTAGTTTTTCAGCAACTTCCCAAGCAAGGAGTCTGAGAGGTGCTCAATAAATACCTTTACCTGCTTTCTTGAGTGCTTCAATCGCGGCATAGGTTTTACCACTGTTGGTAGGACCCATATGGAAGTAGAAATTCCTGTTCATTTTCCGGGTCTCTGGGTACCAATCATGAGGATAAAACACTTGTGGTTTGATATTAAGGCTGTCATAGTATTCATCCTCTTTGGTCTGCTGGTTCTTTGGCTTATCGTCAAATGCTGGTCTATTAAAGTTCTCCTGAGGAGATCTTCGGTTGAAGTCTCTCCTTTTAGATTTATCTTGTCTCGGGCTTCGATTTTTGACATCATACCTCCGCTTTTTTGAGTTTCCTCTAGATTTTCTCTTTGAGTTATTCCCTAAAGTTTTAGGAATTTTTTCTATAGGATCCCTGCTTGGATGAGAAATTACTATAAAATTTTACGAATGTCTAATACTATTTTTTTAGGTCTCTCTGGACTTTATTTATTTCTCCATCCTGGCATTTTATTCCCTTCAAAATCTTCGCCAGTGATTTTACAAATATCCTGGTGATCTCTAATTCTGTATGTCTGTTTATTTCCTCTGAAATTTATTTAGAAAATAATTGAGCTGAGAAGAAGAGACCACTTCGATATTGCTTGTTATCTAAAGAATACATGAGGATTTAATAAGGGAAGGTGAAGAAGCTATTGATTCCAATTAACACACCCAAAATGGTTTTTACATCACATAACTCCTTGCTTCAAGAACTGGTTGAACCTGATCATTTTATGACTGTCAAAATTTTATAAAATCAACTTCTATTCACTCAAAAGGGGTTTTGGGGTTTTGGGGTTTTGGGGTTTTGGGGTTTTGGGG